TTAAAATGGGGAATCCTTTTTGATTTCTAAAGTTAAAACCGGTAAAAAAAAAGGGGGGGATATTAAAAATTATATTTGAAAGCCTCTGCATTATTACTGCTGTGTCAGAACCGCCAGCTAGTAAGTAAAAATAGAGTGTTAGGCTGGGCTTTTTTTTTAAAGCATCCACACATAATATACAAACAAGTAAGGGGCAGCAGCCATTTAACTAATTGTAATAAACTAATTGTAAACATTCAGCAATTTAAGTGCTGAATGTTTGTTACAAGAAGAACACAAAGCAATCATATAATGATGAAATTTAGCCTTAAGACTGGTCGTTTATCACTCCATTTACATTTGTGGTTAAAACATTTGGACATAAGAATGACAGTGTTAATAAAGAGATTAATACTAAGGTCACTAGAATGATCAAAAAGTGCTGATCACAGAAGCTACAAACCAGTAACTCACTACAACTGCGTCAAAACCGTCGCAGGGCAGACAGACAGACATACACATTCACACACTCACTCACACCTAGGGGCAATTCAGCATCTCCAATTGGCCTGACGGCATGTTTTTGGACTGTGGGAGGAAACCGGAGTACCCGGAGGAAACCCACGCAGACACAGGGAGAACATGCAAACTCCACACAGAAATGACCCCGGTCGCCCGGCCGGGAATCGAACCTAACGGTAACATGTATAATGTAAATAATAATGGTCCTAAAATAGAGCCTTGCGGAGTTCCAAATCTTACTTGTGAATAATTGGAAGATAAGTCATTTACCTTTACGAACTGATAACGTTCCGTTAAGTAAGATTTGAACCATGATAGGGCTGTCCCTGTGATTACAACCATGTTTTCTAACCTTTCTAGGAGAATATTGTGGTCTATTGTATCGAAAGCTGCGCTGAGGTCAAGTAGCACCAACAGGGATATGTAGCCTTGATCAGAGCCAAGAAGAAGATCATTTGTTATCTTAACTAGAGCTGTCTCAGTGCTGTGATGTGGCCTATATCCAGATTGGAATTTTTCATATATGTGGTTCTTATGTAGATATGAACTAAGTTGTTGGGCCACAGCTTTTTCTAAGATCTTAGATATAAATGGTAGGTTAGAAATAGGCCTGTAATTAGACAATATGCAAGCATCAAGGTTTGGTTTCTTGATCAGAGGTTTAATAACTGCTAGTTTAAAAGCTTTGGGTACATGGCCCAGGCTAAGGGACGAGTTTACTATAGTTAAAAGAGGATTAATGATAACTGGTAGTACTTCTTTGAGTAATTTTGAGGGAATTGCATCAAGTGTGCAGGTTGTGCAATTTGCAGAGGAGATAATCTTCTCTAATTCTGGCTGTGTGAGTGGGTAGAAAGTTTCAAGCCTTTCTTCTGCAACTATGTTATGTTTTATATCAGCCACGTCAGATGACAGCCAAGTTGGATTTAATACTGTGGGTTGAATTTGTTGTCTAATATTTTCGATTTTATTATTAAAAAAAGTCCATAAAAACTTTACTGGTGAGAGTCACCAGAATTTGTGGTTCAGTACCTGCCTGATTTTTTGTAATTCTGGAAATCACACTAAACAGTACTCTAGGATTATATTTATTATTCTCGATCAGTGAGGCCAGATATGCTGAGCGAGCTTTAGTGAGAGCATTTCTATACTCTATAAGGCTGTCCTTCTAGGCAAAGTGGAACACTTCCAGCTTGGTTGATCGCCATTTCCGCTCTAGTTTCCGTACTGTTTGTTTTAAGGTACGGGTTTTATCATTGTAGCATGGGGTGAACTTTTTCTGTCTTATCCTTTTGATTTTAAGTGGCGCCACATTTTCTAAAGTAGATCGAAAGGTATTTTCTAAATAGTCGGTAAATACATCTAGCTCCATTGGGTCTGATGGAGTGGAGACTAGGGTTGTTAGTTCTGGGAGGTTTTCTACGAATTGTAGGGCGGTAAATGGTTTTATTGCACGCTTTGTAGAGTAGCGAGGGGACGTACATATATTATGGCTAAGACGTAGCTCATGAGAAATTAGGTAATGGTCGTAGATTGCTGAGGTTTGCGGTAGGATATTAAGTCTGTCTATGTTAAGTCCGAGTGTCAGAACTAAGCCTAAAGTGTGACTACAGTAGTGTGTAGGCCCTGTTACATTTTGGGTAATACCAACAGAGTCTAGGATTGAGGTAAATGCCTTTTTTAGTGGGTCATCTGCCTTCTCAAAATGGACATTAAAATCTCCTACAATCATTACTTTATCATTGCACACAGCTAGGTTTGCAGCGAAATCAATAAATTCTTTTAGAAATTCTGAGTAGGGTCCTGGTGGTCTGTAAATGTTAAATAATGAAAATGTGTTCTTTTTTGTGGCCGGATTTGTAACGTTGATGGAAAGAACCTCAAAAGAAGTGAAGGTGTCACATTGTTTCTGACTGATATCTAGGGTATTCTGGTAGATTACACATAATCCTCCTCCTTTGCCTGATAATCTTGGGCTGTGTACATAATTACAGCCTGTAGGGGTGGCTTCGTTTAGTGCTGAACATTCATCCTGTCTAACCCATGTTTCAGTGAGACAGAAAACGTCAAATTTATGATCACTTATAATTTCATTTACGATGACTGCTTTTGAGTTTAGTGATCTTATATTGAGTAACCCAAATTTTAGAATTGAGGTGTTACTGCTATCATCTGAATACGATTTAATATTGATTAGTTTGTTGAAACGGGCTGATTGAGTTTTTCTACATTTAGATTTAGATTAAATTCGGGGCAAAGACACAGTCTCAATACAGTGGAACCTAGGTGACGCCTCAAGGCGGTTCGCAGACGGTCGGTTTAGCCTGTCTTGTCAGCAGCTGTTTACACTACTCTGCCGACTAACTAAAAGACTATGTGTTATGCTGCAAGAAACTAAGGCAGCACCCTCCCGCGTGGGGTGGACACCATCCCTACCTATAAGACCAGGCTTGCCCTCGAAATGTAACCAATTATCTATAAAGCCCACTTCATTTTCCGAACACCACTTGGACATCCAGCAGTTTAACGCTGAAAGTCTGCTGTAGGCTTCAGCGCCGCGCCGCATTGGGATGGGACCAGAGCAGATTACGGCATCGGACATCGTCTGGGCCAGTTTAATCACCTCTCTAATATTACCCTTAGTTACCTCAGACTGCCGCACACGAATATCATTGGCCGCTACATGGATGACTATCCTCGAATATCTCTTATTAGCTAACAGTCTAAGGTTGCCACTAATGTCCGGCGCTCTGGCTCCCGGTAAACAGCTAACTGTTACTGCTGGCGCCCCTAAAGGAGTAGCTAATTTCACGTGTCGAACTATCGAGTCTCCTATAACCAGAGCACTTTTAACAGGCTCCTCAGCGGGTGCTTCGCTGAGCGGGGCAAACCTGTTTGACACGTGAATCGGAGGAGCGTGGTGTTCTGGTGGGCTAGCTTTGGCCTCAGCGTTAGCATTAGCCTTAGCTTTCCGGCTATGTCGCCGAGACGTCACCCATTCACCCCGCTGTGAGGGCTCTAACGCCGGGTCGAGGGGGTGCTAGCAGTGAATCTCGCTGTCTGTCCCTTAATAAATCCCGGATGCGCACCTCTAGCTGGTCCACCTTATCCACCAGAGAGCTAACAAGCTGGCACGTAGCACAAACACAGCAACTATCATTATTGCTAGAGGTGGAAAAGGGGATTAAACTAAACATGCCAGGCAAAGAAACCAGCAGTAGCCATGATATTGCAGGAACTAACCACTTTTGGTTGATTTAGAAACTTAGCAGGACGATAGCAAGAAGAAGCAAGAAGGGTCGGCGGTCTGAGCGTCGAGTGTCGGTTGATTGGCTGCAGTGAAACACTTTGTTCCATAATACAGCCTTTTATATTAAGAGAGTAAATTACTTAAGTTTATAATTGTGTGGCTGGGTAATTAAAAGAAATTAACTAAAGATTGAAGTCAGAATTTTTGGACGTACCCCCAGTGTCATTCAATGTACCACTGGGGTACGCATACAATTTGGGAACCACTACCTTACATCCTAGGAAGACACGTCCTTCACTGAGTTCTCTCTAAATACTTTCGTCACACTCAGTCAGATTCTTTGTGGGGGCCCAAAGGCAATCAGGCGCTACAAAGCGTTCTTCCGCACACTATTTCCACCAGAGAGGTCTCCAAATGCCCACAACTTACACAGTGCAGCTTTAAACAATCTGCTTGTGAGAGGGTTCCTATACCATTCGTTTAATAATACTGATACAGTTTAATAAGATTCAGTTTACTACTTAAAACACCTAGTATTGACATTTTCATGTGTTGATCAAGTCTCAAAAACAAATGTCAATGTCAGAAGTATCGATGTATCAGTATTGATCTGCACACCACTATATCTTGGTTGAAAGTTAAATACTGTCCTGGAGTCATAAAGGCAAACAATGAATTTCTCATTCAAAAATGCTTTTCCAAAAGATAAAGGGCAAAGAAAAGCTTGAAGACCCAAACAGAAGACAGAATATTCAGAAGAAATAGAACCCATACGGTCACCAGGAGTCAGAATCGACTCAACAGCACAGGCTTCGAACACCACTAGGTTTTTGTAAAATAGAATGCAACACAGCTCTTGGTTTAGTGGGGCTTTATTTCACACTCTCTCCAAATGTACAAAAATGAGATATGGTACAAAATTAAAAACAAAAAGCAAAGGGAAAAAGCCTAAATTCACCAAACCCCCTCCCCTTTTCCATGAGAAAGAAAATGTGAATGTAATTGGTCTCAAAACCAAAGTGCATCTGTTTGCAGTACAGCGGGGGGAAAACAAAATAATCTCAATTTGACCACACTGTACCTCTTTCACATATCCTAATCACATATCTGGCCGCCACAACCTCCACAGTGTCCCCAGAGCAGCTGGCTCAAGAGAGAGCCGACATTGTGTCAGAGCATTCTGTTGTTCACTAAAGTTGGAATATAATTTAGCTCCTCTACATGATTCCCTCCTTAGAATTATTTGTGCTTGTCTTATAACTCTGACTTCTTGCTCTTTGACTTCTTCTTCTTGTCTTCTTCCTTTACCACCAGTTCGTTAGTTGCCTCTTTCTTCAGGTAGGAAATAAAGTCGCTGACTTCACGGCCTCCCTGAAACCAAACAAAGGAAGCCTGATTAGCTTAAACCACGTCAGGTGAGCAGTGCTCTGCTCACTACACATGCAGGCAAACAGACAGTAAGCATGATGTACAACTGCAATAACTATTAAATGTTCTTGTTTACCAAGAGCTGTAAAACACACAGCTAGCTAATAACAAACCTCGTATCTCTTTGGACTCTGCTTCTGCCCAGCTGGAGAGAAATAGATGGTGGGGAACCTGAAACAAAACAGCAAGCCAGGTCAAAAACATGTTCAAATCAGGAAATACAGTCAAGCTGTGATAAAGCTGTTTTGTTGTCTTTCTACATACCCTCTAACATCGTATGGAGAAGGGACATCATTAGCTGTGGCATCCATCTTGGCAATGACGACGTTTGGATCACTGGCGAGCTGCAAGATGGAGGAAACAGGTTAAAGTTACACAAAAAACACAAAATTCTAGTCTATATTTTCCCCCACTATCTTAAAAGGTTAAAACTTTAGGCCATGTGTCACACCAGTTAGTAAAAATGTCACATGACCTTGTTTACTTCAACAAATGCCTTAAAAAGAAAGCATGACTGGCTGGGCCTGCTTGATTACTCAGACAAAATTACAAACAGCACAGGCAGACCATGGAGAAAAAACCTCAATTACTTTGATCTTATTTTTCTGCACTCCTTTTAACACTCACCTTCTCACCCAGTTCTTTGTATTTTGGCTCCAGGCTTTTGCAGTGTCCACACCAGGGGGCATAGAACTCAATGAGCACATCCTTGCTCTCATCATTCACAATGGAATCAAAATTCTCAGCAACAACAACCTAAACAACAAACAAAGTTAGAATAAACAGTTTTTCTGTACTCATGAAAACAAAAATAAATAAATAAACTGATTTGTTTGCCAACTTACTTTGACTGGGCCGTCATTGCTCTCAGGAATGGGCTCGGACTTCAGGTAACGCTTCAGTTTTCCATCAAAGTAATCCTGCAGGAACCTTTCCAGGGCCTTCCCATCACGACTACATAAAGCATTCAAAAGTTCTTTATCAGTGTACCATCTTATTAGTTTTCAGGGTCACATCTGTTTGGCATGGCAGTTGCTACAAACAAGGTCTTTCCATTCATTAATGGTGTAGTAAGGAAGCATTCATTTTGTATGTTACGCTTAGACAGAACCTCAAATTATCGTATTTTGTTTAGAGCCAATTTTATAGCACTTACGAGAACTCCTCCTGCATGACGTATTTGTCTCCCTTGGCAGTTCGGATGCCAACGACAGGAAGCTCTCCATGGCTGGCATCTAAGCCCAGTTCGGACACATCATGGCTGAAGGAGTTCCTATTGGCCACAGCAAAGCTCAGTGTCTTTCCCTGGTCCAGGAAACTCTTGGCCACCTTCATGACCCTAGTAAAAAAGGAATACAAAGCAAAAGACAGTCAGATTCCCGAGTCCTAATTTAAAACCAAATCAATCTCATTTACGATTATCTTACTGACAGGAACAGATCTGAGGTCAGCTCTCCTAATTAGAAATTCTTTGTGAATGCATTCCCTGGGCTATGATCACATCCTAAAGGAAACACCATCGAGACACACATGCCATTACAGTTCACTAACAAACTGAACAGAAAGCCCTACCTGTTCCTCCAGTAGTTGGAGCCCTTGGGGTTCTTTTCATAGTCCACATCATAATAGGCCACCAGCAGATCTTTGCCTTTCAGCTGGTCTTTGTTGTCATCAGTCATGTGAGGGCAAATTCCAAAACTGCCGCAGAAAAAAAAATTATTTATGGATGCAGCTGCAACCAATAGTGAATTAGGCAACAATTACAAACTCATCACCTAAACAAATAAACCACATTCAATAAAGTAGACGTACATGTTGTCCTGAATGAACCTCTTGATCTTGGCACTGGTGAATTTCTCTTCACCAAACTTAACGCTGCTCTCTTCAAATTTGTTATTAAGGCGAGGAGGCCGGAACAAAACAACACCCCTGAAATAACACACAAGTTAGTTAAACAAAACTTAATAGAAGACACATGAAAAAGAGAAACTAGGTACACGTATTTTAAAGTGTACTTATTTGAAAGCGTGCTGTCCTTGTAAAAAGCACTGGAGCAAGAATACAAAAGTATTGTATTGTAATTAAACACCATCAGCCTCTAACCATTTGATAAAGTGAGCAAAAGCAAAAGTGAAAGTAAAAAAACAGGCAGAAAGGCAAACGCAACTTACTCTCCCTCAATGTCGTATTTCTTCAGAAGGTCTTCCAAGTTAGTGTGAGCAAAACGGTACGACTCTCTCAGGGCACTGGCTGACTTCAGGAACTCACTTTGTGCAGCGCTTCCACCATCAGCAAAGAATCCTGAAGACATGATTGTGTTTTATTGCAATGTTACTCAGACTATACTTTTCTGTTGAAATGCAAAAGTAAAACATAAAGCCAACAGTAGGTTTAATGGGAGGAAAAAGCATTTCTGAATATGCTCACCCACAACACTGGCATCACGATCTCCAATGAATTTCTCTAAGTCTTCTACAGTTTTGAGCTCCACAGAAGCTGGGCCCGCTTGCTTTTTTAGGTGACTGACAATGCCATCTAAAGATGTAAGCAGAAAGTGTGCAAGAGCTCAATATCATGAATGAGATCCACAGTTATGTGTTCAGTTCTTAGCCTGACTGTTACCCTAGAAATTCAATGGTTAAACAAGACTATTTTCCCTGCTTATTTCCTCATTCAAGCATAAATAAAACGGGGGGGTGGGGGTGGCTATCGATACAGCAAGTTAACATTTTTTCAGGATAAGAAGTAGGAAGCAAATGAAGTATATTATTACATAACTAAACAAAGCAAAAAGTGCAACATGCAAACAAAGGCACACCTGCAGTTCTTGGACCATCATAAGCCCCAGACTCCTCTCCATCTCTGAAAATCTTCAGAGTTGGGTAGCCACTCACACCATACTTGCTGCACACATTGGAATTGGCAGTGCAGTCCACCTAAATCATATTAGAGACAACAGTACCACAATGATTTGGCTTAGACTCACTGGCCAAAAGAAAACTAGAGAACTGTCCTGCAGTTCATTAAAATAAATAGTGGAAATAGTGGAATAATGGAAACAGCAGCCTGGTGGTGCTACATTCAGCATGAAACTGAAAAGATTTACCTTAGCAAGTGGGACAGTGCCCTTCAGGCGAGTAGCAGCTGCCTCATACTCTGGGGCAAGTTTTTTACAGTGGCCACACCTGAAAGGAAAAGCGATATGGAGTTCGTAGAGTTACACGTTTGTGACTCACATTGGACGTTTCATCATTACAGCTCGAACTGGTCTTCAGTTAGTTCAACTTCATTGGTAAGTCATGCTGGTCAAGTTGGTTCATCCTGCTGCTGCACTACGTACGCATACATAACATCCAATCAGAGACGGCCAACGAAACTTCCCTGACCAATCATGACATTACAACAGAGAGCGGCCACACCTCCAAACATCCTTCAGTAACGTTTCCTCCCTAAATCTCAAGTGAAAGGCTGCGATTTTAAACTTGTGACATTAGCAAGTTAGGTTAGCTGGGTAAACTGTATCATAGCAAACTAAAGCACAAACGTATCGAACGTGCAATGCTTTCTGAAAGTCTTAAAGGTAGTGAAATTGAGAAATAAGTCAATATCAATTTAATAAACTCATCAATGTCGCACAGCGGCTAGCAAAGTTATGAGAGAGCATCAAACTGAATAGCACTGCAAAACCAGATGACTTACAGATTTAGCCATAGCTATAACTACAACATTAACTCACAGCTTAACCTTTTGGGGAAATTAGCTGTAGATAAACTCAGTCTATCAACTACAAGTAGGCAGTATCTAACTAAACTTAGCGTTAGCTGCTAGCTAACCTAGCTAGCTATCTAAGTTAACGTTAGTTAAAGCTTGTTTTCTTGTAATGGGGCGTTGAACATCATCACGTTATTAATCAGTTAGCCAAGCATATCCGAGCTACTCTGTTCAATGAGCCAACAGCAGGTCTGTATTAGTGCAGAAGTCCAGCACAGAATAACGCGAAACGGATAGCTAATGCTAATGCTATTCCTGCGCCGAGCGCATTCTCAGAAAAACAGGCAAAGCGGTTAGCTAGCTACGTTAGCTAACTATACAGGACTGAAACTGAAACTAAGCTTAGTTTGTAGGCCTAACTTTAAAAACAACATAGCTTCTGCTAGTTAGCTAATAAAGTAACAATTTTCCAAACTCGCTTAAAGAAGCTGAAGTCAGCTTCCTATTCTCCTGCTTCTTGTTCGAATTTTCCCGTCCCACCTTAAATGGTGCAGCCCTTAACTTACAGTCTGGCGCCAGAATGTAACTGCATTTAAGGTGGGACGGGAAAATGCGAACAAGAAGCTGACTTCATCTTGGTTTTAGTTTAACTAGTTAACTGTTAGCTATCTTAGCTAACGTTAAGCGTTGGACGTCTATACTGTTTCTTCACGAAAGTGTAGGTAATCGTTCACTTAGTGCATAAAGCCACAAAGGCTTAAAGTCTGCAATCCTGCGAAGAAGCATCGCGCACTTACCAGGGTGCAAAGAATTCAACGAGGATTAAGTCGTGGTCTCCAATTCTGCTCTCAAAATCGTCATCCGTGAACTCGAGCACATCGCTAGCCCGAGCAACTCCGGCGAGAAATGCGAAAAACAATAAAGTCAACATAATGGAGAGCGTGCGAGTGTGTTTGCAGCCAAAGCAGGTACTTATTGCAATAAAAGCGAACCCCTTATTGCTGGATACCTATCCGGACTGTTTGAGTTTAGGGCCCAGGGAAGCTGGCACCGTGCACACAAGGGAAAGAAAGCGCAAGCGGCGCGGATGTCCGAACCCGGAGCTCTTCAAGGGAACCAAAGTGTGGCAGCAAACCATTGGCCTTCCAGGCGCGTCATACCGGCCCGATCAGCCAATCAGAGCGCTGCACCTCCACATCTCCTCCAAGAGCTTTCCTCCCTCTGTCAATTATAAAAAAAAGGGATCGATTGGAAAGCTTGCCAAATATTCGTAATGTTATGTTTTTTTTAATTTCATTTTTAAATCGGATATTTCAGCCATGTTATTTTTCAGTTTTTCAATTTCAAAGAAATTAAAGAGGCATGCAGACAATGCCCCCAATACCACCCAGACTCTATTGGAGCATTCCCATTATCCAGGCCTAAACTAGAAGAACCATCTTTTTTCAGCTTATTATGTTCTGCTGTGCAAAACAACACAGCAGGGTGCCCACTACCCACATATACTTCATAGTATTATATAATTCAATTCAACTCTGAGCAGTGACAGATTTAGCCACCGTCAATGTTACAGTGCTCGTGCTTGTAAGTACTTGCCTCAGTATTGCCAGCCTGCAAGTCCAACCAGGGAAGGTTTCTTCACAGAGTGGAGATAGCTCAGTCAAAACCCATTCAGAGCTTTTGATTTGTGAGTTTAGACATGCTTTCAGCATGTAGTGGTAAAATGAGAGAAGACTGAGGGAGGAGAATTGAGGGAGGGGGAGAACTCTTGAGAACTTCGGCTGGAGTTTTGGGCAGCTTCTGACTGTATCTAGAAGGCCAGACTCCCTCTCATAGCTGTAATAGGACTTAGGAACAGGGAGGAGATGGGGTGGCAGTGGGGATTGTGAACACTTTGTCACAGTAACGGAAGGAGAGGATGTGAATTTATAGGGCGTTAGATTGGAAGAAGGAGGGGTTTCAGGCATGTTCCTCCCCCAAACTTCAGTTATAACATAACTACATAAAGTGTGTTGACCTGTTGTTGGAGATGGTAAGACGTCAGAGCTGCTGCATAAAACATATTCCCTGAAGACCTCTTAGATATAGCATAGCAGAGAAATAGGCCTTCACTTTCAGTCCTGGAGGTCCAGCACCAAAATGATATCTGGTCTGCAGTGGTCTTGTGCTAGTTCCATTCCAGTGATGGACAGGACAGAGGGGGCTTAAAATTGTGCAGCAACAGACGAGCTACATTCAGCAATTGTAAATCTAGAAAGTGCACCTATATAGTGAGTGTTGCCTATAAAAAAGGGCAAGGAGTGTAGGTTCATGGTAGGTGTACTTAATAAACTGGAAGTGTATGTGTCATGAATATTGTGTCTTTTTAGGTCTGTTACCAAATCAAGTAGAATAGAGCAAATCAATGAGATTGAAATAGTTAGACAAAAGCATATTTGTTATTATCTTGTGTATGCTTTCCTGTATGGCTGTGTCTAAGCTGGCTGTCAGCTCTATGTTTAACAAAATTGTACATGTTCCAAACAAGAAAATATTCAGCTGCTTGGGAGGAAGGGATTCTCACCAGCTAGTGAGGTTTGAGATCTCTCCCCACAGGACAACTACCATCACTATGGGCAACCGCAGACAGTGACGCCTGAAGAGCCGCCTTTCCCACACCCACACTTTAACATGTTTGCACACTGGATCCTAGAGAGTATCCTCTAACATGTGTGCTTCTGTTGAAAGCCTGATTAGAGTGAACTGCCATGTTGTCTGCAGTTAATGCTTGATCTTCACACGTGGATTGGAGCAGAAAGGGTTGTTGAATGTTAGATACTGGGTCATACTTTAACTGCATTATCCAGTCACTGACAGTATTTCTAGAAAATAAAAAAATGCATTGCCCCTAATCAATGTGCTCAGAAGTTTGTTCTCAGATATCAATGTCCTCCTAAACATTTTGAATGCTTGTCGTGCTTCGAGTCCAGACAGGTGAGGTCAAGATTCATTTTTCCAGCATAACCAAAATGAATGCAAATGATCTGTGAGTATGATGTACTGCTTTGCAAAGTTGAATTCAGTGAGTCCACCTTTCAACTACTAAATAATATTGATTTATTAATAAATAAGTAGCATTTATTTATTATTTACCTTTTCAGAGTACAAGCGCTGACCAGTTTGTACCTTTTGTAAATCGTGAACATAGTAACATGCTGAAAAATCTTTTTCAAAGGTACTGTTTGTAGAATTAAAGTCCTTTAACTGTGGAAATTTCCCCCTGAAGATTCTAAGTGTAGAACTACTTGTGGCTTTTATTCTGGCAGACGAGCTTATTATGGGCTGCTGCTTTATTTGTTCAGAGATTTTCAACAATATGAACCCAAGACTTCAGATCCCCAAGCTGATATTAGACATAATGGACTGGTTCCTACTTCTGCCTGGAATTTTATACAAAAATGGGTAGACAGCTTCTGGCTGTTTTGGAAAAATACATGGAACATTTGGATTTTGCTGTCACTGTGGTGGCGATATCCATGAAACTGCATCTGTTCTGTTAGTAGCTTTACAAGGAGATCTTCTAAAGAGATACAGTTTACAATGTCATGTGAACCATCTGTATTTAATGCCAGTAGTTATTAAAACAAGTTTTTTCTGTACTTGCCCCACTGTTTGTATTTTGTTCTGTTAGTCTGTCCTCCCATAGATCATAAAGGCCTTCAGTGCTGCACAAACAGCAGATCTTGGCTTTGTGGTGATTCTCCACATCCTCTGCTCATTGAAGACTGTGAGTATCTCCGAAGGTTTTGAGGTTTGGAGTAACATGCAAATATGCAAATGCTATGCTATGATTACTGAAAATAGTGTTTTTTAATTTTTTACATAGACTATGATCTTCATCATCTCCTGCTTGTGTTAATTTTCCGCTGTGGTGGGCATTGTTCTATTCCAAATGCACTTGCTCTGATGGAACTGTTTACAAAGTTTGAGGAACTTGTTTACAAAGTTTCAAGTAAGCTCATTTTTGCTCAATATTTTAACCCTAGCTAAGGCCACTTTTGGAGATCTGATTGCAAGGTCACCTGGCACAACACTTCCTTTTAAAATATGTAGAGGTGTATTTCAATGGTGATAAATTGTCAAAATAATCACACCCAGTGCAATAATTAACTGTGGCGAACAACAGCGAAGTATGCACAACTTATGAATGATTTGTGGATTGATATATGTTGCTTTTACTGACTGACTGTATACTTTAAACAAACCATTGAAGAATCAGTCATTCAGAAAATCATGTTTGCATGAACCAATATTTGCCTAGATCCTAGCACTTTTCAATTTCTCAGTGCTTCACAGTACGTCACTTAGCACTTTGCCATTACCGCATTGAATTAAAGCCATATCCAGAACACAGAAAGCTATAGCAGATAACATTGCTTAAAATTTACACAGAGATCTCTTACCTTGGCTAACATTACTCGAAAACTGTACATTTGAGGTGAGGTAGTAAACTGATGCAAAGCGTAGTTAATTATGTTGAAAGCTTATTTAAGTTTTTAATTTAGTTTATATGAGCAGAGTGTAAAAATGATCTTGAACTTGACATTCATCTGTGCTCTCACACTGCGTGCTTTCTATAGCAGTGCTCTGCTAAGCGGCCTTTAGAATTAATCAGGCTGTTTTTGTAATTGCACCTTTAAGAATATTTGTAAATGACCTCTATTCTGATTGGATGCCCTGTTTTGTCTTCAGTTCAGGCTGAATCACTTTTTATAATATTGGCATGAATGGGCGGGGCTAAACTGCTGTAGGCTGAATAAGTGGGTGTATGTCTATATGGACTGTATGGAGTGGTGACTGAAGAGGACATTTTGAGACTTTAACAATGTTTATATTAATTTTAATTCAACATCAACATTGAACATTTTTCAACCGAATGTAATTTTTAGTTATACACCAAACTTTTTTATTTAAAAAATGAGGATTTTATTTTTTCATGGTCCAGGCTTTTTAATATTTATATAAAACGTCAGCATGACTTGATTATTGTCTACACTCTGCCATAGGAAAACACACTATGAATTAATTATTAATACTTTACTGTCTCTAACAGTGTCTGGTCTTTATCAAAAGATATCCTCCTAAAAATTAAGGTAATTAAAAAAAATATTATTTGGACTCAGGAGTCTCAAGAGTGTATGATTTGGCATACTGTATTTATAAATATGTTGTAAAATACAGCTATTTATTACCTCTCTGACAAATTTTCATTGATCGCTCATTTTCTGCAACTGCTTCATTTCAGGTTGGTTTTACCTCTAGTTTCTTTGTTTAATTCTAAGGGTGTTGTGTGACAGATCTGTTTATGACTATGTTAGTGGAAAAATATTTTTTGACGTTTCATATCTTTGCCAATGCCTCTATGTTTTTAAATGACTATGTTTATTTTGTTTCAGAGAGACATCCCCATTATTCATCTTGCTATAAATTTCACTACGGATCGCTGGTACACCCTTCAGGCGAACACAGGAGAATTTATGGCTGGACAGAACCACCTGCAGCCTCTGTGATGTCTTCAGGTTCCTCACTGGCTCCTATATAGTGCAAAACGTTTTTGTGGGCATTATGGGTAGGTGAAGAGGTCTCCAACGTCACACATTGAATCCAGTGTTGGAATAGCAGTGCTTCTGAGAGAAAAGCAAAGAAAGAAAATGAGGGAAAGGCAGAGGGCCTCTAAAAACACTTGTGCCAAGGGCCTCATGAGACCACAATGTGTCGCTGCCTGGATTTTGAATCACTGGTGGATATGACACTAGGTGTCCAATCGGTTACATCAGCAATTAACTAAAGCCACAAACAGAAACTGGATTAGCGGTCTGGAGCTGTAGACCTCTATGTATTGCTAAAATTTCCACTTACACAAAAAAAGGAATGCACCCATTCAACTCCTGCTGCATGACCATAGTGAATAGCTTCCAGGCTATAATTGATCTGTCCAAAGATGTACAGAGATCTGTCCAGAGATAGAATTCAGAGGAAAACAGACTTATTCAAGGCAGATATGATAGACAGATGAGTGATCAGTTCATGCTGTAATTTTCTATTGATTCAGAACAATTTACTTATAAAGCTCTAA